AGAAAACAAATGACTATTAAGTTTAATATATTTAGATTTTTACAGCTATGGTGAGAAACGTTTAAAATGTACAACAGCCCCGTCGCATCCTTTGAGATATACTAGTGATGTGACAAAAGAGGTGTTTGATATTGACCGGTATCGGTACCCTCGGAATTTGGCAGCCCGCGTGTATGCGCGCTCTGCAATCGTCTTCATTAGCCACTCGTACGAAGATATTTGACTAAGTGCATTGTTTTAAGATTTAAAAAGTAAAGAATATTTTATATTTTTATCTACGTTTTGCTTGTGATGATTTTCTTTAAAAGTATATTAATACAATTGAAGAATATTTTGTATCAGGTATGTATTTGTACATCCACCACACATTTTATTTCACCGAGTAAGTTTTTATTATTTTATTTTTAATTGTAGCCCTTATATCGTGGCTAGCGATTCGGAATGTAATTGTGATATTAAAAATACATTTAGAGAAGTCTACGGTTTTTACTGGCTTATCAAATAAATGATACGAATGGACTCTAGACCAGGAGTGGCCAACAGTTTTTGCCCCCCGGCCGGACCAGAGGCTACCTTAGGAAGATTTTGAGGTGGTGCGAGATCTCATTGTGGTGTCATCCCGTAGAGACTGAATTGTACATAGAGATTACAGATACATTTTTCACATTATCATGCTTTATGAACATTCTACACTGTACTTACAAGATTTGTAATGGAGGGTTAACTCTAAACACACGGTGAGTTGTTGACCTTTTTTTTCTTTTTTTTTTTTTAGGCGTCAGAATTTTTCATCGAGCTATTCGGACTTGAGTGGCTAATATTGAAAGTTTGATCGCGGGCCACATAAATTCATTAGACGGGCCGTATGTTGGCCATGCCTGACCTAGACCATCACTGACGCGCAATTGACTGATTGCCCCAGGATGTCGGCATCTTACAGAAACACATCCTCCCTATCATAAAATGTCACGGCACGCCTGCCTTTACACCCCCCTTAATAATTTTGCAAAATAATACATTTTTTTAATTGAATTGTTCTCATTTTTGTAGTGGTAACAGGAATGAATTTGGTTATTCTTGGTATACAGACAATTTCAAACTCAACATCCATAACTATCAATAAGAAGTACTGGTATACACACCATCTAATTTAGAAAAATGAGGGTCCTAATATGAATATCCAAATTTGGATTGAATTCAATATCAAATTAATTGTTGACATTAATCTGTTTTGCAGGCTGAGGTCTCTAATTTTGTCTAGAAACAGGTTAAGAACCAATTAAGTTGTGAAGAAGGTTCAAATCAATCAGAACCTAGTTGAGGACCCAATATATATAAATCTGTGTCCCAAGGACTAGAGGACCCTTGTTCAGTTTTCTGTTTGGCCCACTGTGTTCTCCATTTACCATCAACTTTTTTTATTTCACATAACCTCACTAGAAATATATTTGCATCTTTCTTGTTAGCCTGTCTTTGAGTCTCTCACCAATCTTTGGTGCAGGGATGCCCGTATGGAATATGTGCCTTCTTTTTCATCTCTGTTGCCCTCTTGCTAATCCCAAGGAGGTCCCAAATTCCATTAGCAACAAACAAACAGAAAATTCACGAGTTCTTGCCTATTCTTCAGATATAAAAGAAACTAACGAACGATATTTGTCCATTGTCCCTTACAACTTTGTCATACAGTATGTTGACAAAAACTACATTCCTTGTTTTCAAGGCCAAGTTAGCGGCAAGTGCATCCAGTTATTTTGTAGAAGTGCTGATCAAGCAGATCATTGAACCGTAAAGTTTGAAGCTTCTTGCGTAATGTTTAATTACAATGCCCTTTTTTATAGCCTGTGGGTGCCGCTGCTTAGGTGTTTATTGTTTCTGATATTTACGGCCTTCTTCCATGCGAGAAACGACTGAACTCTTTCCTTTCGGACTTTCTTCCCAAGGAAGAAAAAAAGCATCTGTGAACTTTTGTGAATAATTGTACTATATTATTTAGATGATTAGATACAATACTAGTGAGAATATATGTATATAGCTCAGTGAACAGCCTTTTAAAACAATAATGAGTCGTCCTTTATCCCAAAAGTGCTTACTAATATGTCATTTTCCCACTGCCACCGTCCAGTCACAACTACTTTTAATTCAAAAATCAACAACCCTAAAAATTACGTTCAAAATCCGATGGTGATTAAGATTACATGACCCCACACTGTGTCACCTGTCAATGAATTATGAAGAACGTTTTGTGACTCTTTTTATACCCGAGATTTATTAGTGTGTGTGTGTATGGCACAATTTTATTAACCCTCTTTGAAGCTTAATAACTTCTTTGCTTTTTTTCGAAACTTTCTGAAATTTTGCAGGGTGGTTTGTGTATTAGGGGGATCGATGCTATTAAATTTTGATGTTTAAAGGTCGATGGGATGGGGAGATAAATGAGTTTTGTGTCATATCTCGAATACAATTAGACTTAATGGCGATTTTAGTCGTTATTAGCATTTACAAATTTTTATAGAACCCATCATTGCAACTCATTGCTGGATTTTATCAATTTGTACACTTTTTTCCATAAAAAATTTTATATTTATTTCTAAATACAGTAAAAACTGATTAAGCGACCGCCTGCATTCGAAGGCACCTGTCAAAACAGGCAAAAATTTCTGACACAGAATAGTTTATAAATAGAGTCTTCGTATAAGTAACTTGTATTAAATGATTACATGTGTAACACGACTGCAGGCATTAAGTTTTGGTCCGAAACAACATACAACAACTGTAATAAGCAACNGCGGGCATCGATTTTTGGTCGGAAACAACATGCAAAAACTGTAATAAGCGACCACTTCCGCGAATATATCTGATCTAAACCCTTGTTCGAACCCACCTCGGGCACTTCTCCCACTCTTGAAATTAGGTACAGGTGTTAATGAATTAGTCTAGCTACAAAGGAAATTCGTTTCGGTCTGTTCGTAATTGTCCGAAAAACGAAAGAAATGCAAAGCTGTCGTTAGAAGATCCTGTTAAAATCCTTTTCACTTTCTCTGATAACTTTATCAATTAGCGGCGAAGTTTAACTGTGAGAAAACGCAATTTACTGTACCGTAGACCTACAGTATTTTCCTTAGGGGTATAAAATATTGTACACGATACAATTAATCGGCTGATCTCATCGTTTGATAAAATTTATTTATTATTTTTGAAGCTCATATACAGCGATAAATAGTTTCTGTATCAACCTGCCCGATGCAGGCGCCCTATGATCATATCATCACCCTGCCCTCCTTTTCATCACTTGCCTTCTTCTCTCTTCCTCTTCTTTCATCATCTTTTGAATGTCCCGCTCGTACCTTTGAGTGGAGCCAGGAGGCAGCCCCTTCTTTCAACTAGTAGCCATGTATCAACCTGACATATTTCTGCGATATTTTTAGAAAAATACACTTAACTGAGAAGGGAACGAAGAGAACCAAGTTGAATTAATTAAGTCGAAAAAAAGAAAGTGTGAGTATTAATCTTTAAAATATTGGTATTAAATCTGTTAATCGAGTTATCCCAATACCAATATAGCTCTATCGTTGAAAAAAATTCACTTATTTTTGTCACCTCGAGTTTTGCTTAGTAGAAATGACTAAAAAGTGCTCAAAATACCGTATTACGGCACCACCTGTCTAAAAGACCACATTTTGAAAGGACGTGTATGATCGCCACAGACAGGTTTTACTGTATTTCCAGATCTTGAAGTGTTTTCATTATATTAATAATAGAATTTTCTTCCTTTTCTAATCTAATAAGTGTATGAAGTTACGGTTATTGATGGATTTCAATTAATGGATCTTCAAAGAACTTTCAGTACAGTTGATAATTTCTTGTATGAAAGAATGATTTGTAAATGGAAACATTTGCAACAATCTTTGGACAGATGAAAATAAAGACAATCAACAAAACATGTCTTTGCTGTGTTTAAGGAGTTGCTGATGATATATTTCAGCAAATTCGAAATCTTTTATGGACTAAACACGGTAGTGTAAATTGAAAAAAGTACGGTAATTATAAACCTTCATTATCAAAGTTTGAAGTCAATGTCGAGTGCCAAGATGGATGCAATTATTAAAAGCATATGCAGGACTTCCCATTCCTACTAATGTTTAGTTAACGTCTTGGCAAATTTGAACTTGGTTATCATACTCTCTTCCATGCTGACCAATCGTATTGCAACTATTATCCTGAAATGCTATACATTTATTTAGAAGACCTAGATTGTTCAGTGTTTCATTAACATAGGTAATAATACTAGTTTCGGCTGTTTTTCATTGAGTTTGTTCTCAATATTAAAAACTATATTTCTTTCAGCCATCTTGAAATGGTACTGTACATGACACAGATTAATGACATTTCAATTAACGACACATTCGTGAGTCCAGCCCTAGATTAATTTGATTTAAAACTTGTTAAAATAATGAAAGTCTAATTAAATTTGTAAAACTTACGATGATTATTATTATTTTTAACATCCGAGTTTCTCCAGGTGTATTTAATTTGTACACTCCGCTTTCTTCTCAGAAGTCCTTGGATTAAGAGGAGCAGTTCATTCCCTTCTGAACGTTTTCCCGTAATAAAGTTAGGCACTTCAGGTTACATATTGTTTCCTTTCTAAGAACCCCTCTAAAGATTTCTAGATCCGCTATTGGCATCGGACGAATACCGAAATTTTCGTACGACAACCGAAGCTCGTTGAAACAAATTTTATTTCTTATTTACAGAATATCATGTGCAATTTTCTTCGGGCTTTTTTTATTTTTATCTAGGAAAATTAACGGACAAAACCAAGGTCTTTTAAAATCAAAATCTTATTAAGACAATTCTTAATTTTAAAAATCTCTTACAGTTTCATTTATGAAAATGTTATCTATTGTTTGTAATCAGTAATTTAGTAACCATCGATTGTTCTATAATATAATATATTTTGCTTTTGGTCTTTGATCCGAGGGAGTATTAGACAAATTATAATTTCTTATCATTTAGATAAAACGTTTCCAAGTCTAAGTTTAAAAGTATCTAACGATTTACGATTTATTTAGTTCTGTAATGCTACTTCGCTAAATAAGAGTGCATTTGAAGAATTTTCAATCGATTCTATACATTTATTTTCATATGATAACAACGTGATTATCTTTAAAAAAAAATTCCACAACTCATCTTTTCCCTAATGGGAAGATGGAGCGCATTTTCAAATTTGTGTGTATTTTATTATTTAATGCAGTATTAATAAATGGTAAGATTTTTTTAATACTTTTTTATATATTTAAAATGTAATTTAATAAATTTTATTACTGTTACTATTGTATCATATGCGTATTATCATATTAAAGCCAGCCATTTTGTCTGTATTTACATTATTATTGAGAATTTAAATATAGTTTTACCAGTAGAAATTTTCATTCTATTAATTAAAATTACTTGAATAAACTGTAAAATACTCCCATTTTTATAGTTTATAAATTTTATGAACATGTATGACCTGAATATTTAAAAGGAAATTAATGCTAATATACGGGAAAATCATCGAAGAATGTTATGTATGATATGCAACAGCTTCTAAATTAATGGAATTGTTATGATTTATTAGTCCAAAAATTATCGCGCGTGGATAAATATGTTAAATTATTTATTTGATGACCGGTATTGGGTAAAGTTGAATCAAAGTAAAACAAATCTGAAAAACGCAACGTGTACTGAAATCAATTATCACGGTCAAGTGAAGAATGCGAAGGATTCTTTACTTCACCAATAGATATAATGGGAAATACACTCCGCTAAGAAAATAAGATACGATATCTCGTATAAATATTTCCATTCTTAAAACAATTTAAATAGATATTATGTATGTTTAAAGTAATTATGGAAAGTATGTGAGGAATCAGTAAACCATCTCCACCACATAAATACAGTAGGTTATATAGTGGATTTGGTCTACTGGCCAGAATCGTCGAAAGGTGGTTTATGGGTCCTATCTCTATAACTTGTTGACGGCCGGATGGCCGAGCGGCTAAGGTGGCAGCCCACCGCTCTGGGGGACCCGGGATCGAATCCGAACGGGCAGAAAATTCCCCAGGTATTTTTTGGGGGTGGTCCGTCGGGTCAAGTCCTTCACCACCCGAACCCATAATAGGCCTGTTATAAAGAGGTTCTCTTAGTGCCACAGTCCGGAATAGTTTTAAAACATTGAAATATTAATTTTATTTAAAAAAATCCGATATCTATTCTCACACGTTAAATGTTATTAGCATTTCTTTCACTGACATGTACTGTACGTTTCTTATAGATATCATTTTTAAATAAATGTTAAAGAAATTTTTCAGTTATCAATTAAACAATAATATAAATTATTAAAACAGATATTGAATTGAAAAAATGTTATAGATTGATTTTATATATTTGTTTTAAAAATATAATATTGTTCGTATGTTTTGCTGAACAATTAGCATTTACGACTGGATGGATGAGGCATCAGCCTACATCTCTAGGGTCCCAAGAATTTTTATGGGTGTTGTTCTTGATAAGTCCCTCGCCACTCGACCGCTTCCATTGTGGATTGTCCTAACTTATGATTGAATTTCGTATATATAATATTGAACCCATTACCCGGCCGCTCTTTGTGGGCACAGAAGGCTTTTCAATCAGACCCTCTTATTGCCCACAAAGAGAAATGAGTCAAAAAACAAAACAATTGGCATCAATCTGGAACAAACGGCATTGGTATATTGTAACCAATTTAAAAGATAGAACAATTAAAGCAATTCTAAAAATTATCTGTTACTTATTTTGCATTAATCGATAATCATTTGTAGATATCAATTGTATGAGTTGATCAAAGATTATTTCTGTCTTTTTGCTTTATTTTTGTCATCCTTCAGAGTAAATTGTAACTAATACAATTTGTAATATAGGCCTACTATAGAATTGATATAACTCATATCTGAACATTTTTAATTTATTTGCATAACAATGAGTAATTAGATTATTTATCAATACAGCAAATCATTTATTTAGTTAAATAATTTAAAAAGTATATACAGTATATATACATATTGTATTGTTTTAGATACTTTAGTCAAAGATCAGATAATTATCTATGATGTTTATTGATATGTACAGTAAATATACAGCATTCACTCTTTAAATTTAAAGCAATAAAAATTCGGAATAATTGTACAGTACAGTCGACCCGGCACACAGCCCTTACACAGTACACAGCCCGGCCCACGTATTTGTAAAATCTAAGTGACTCGTACAACATGGAATTCATATAAAACGGAATAATCAACAGTGTTATAGAGAAGTCGACTGTATACATTAATAAATTCTAAACTTGTCTTCTGTGTACATTAATAAATTAAATTGTAAATTACAAAGTATCAATTTACAACTTAATATATAAAATTTTACATTCCAATCCTTTAATTTTCTCTTAAAGAAATTATTTACCTAAATACTCGAATTTTAAAATTGCAATCGGTAACATTTTTTTTAAGTTAAATTTTTAATATATAATACATAATTTGAGAGTAAATAATTTAAATTTTATTAATTTAATTTAAAATGAAGTAATTAAAAAATCTTTTATTATTTTTTATGAAGTATTTTCTTATTAAATCACTTATTTTCAATCTTATCAAATAGAATAAAATAAAATAATAATTAAACAATAGAGGGGCGTATTTTTATAATGGACTATTATATTTAGTTGATAATTTATGTTCTTCCATATTATCTTTTACAAATATAAAATATCGAGATAATTCGTGTTCGAAAGATATAAAACGATCAGAAAATAGTTCTTATCGGCATTTAAAATTTTAGAACATTTTTTTTTTTAATCTTTTAAAATTCTAAAAAGAAAAACAATGGTCAGAATAATTATTAAAGAATAATTTTAATGTAAAATAATAATTTGTGTGTTTTTAAAATTAATTTATAAGACAATACGTGGCCAAAGTCGGTGACAAAAATCCTTTTGACCAGCGGATCAGAAAAAACTAAAATATATAAAATTCAATACAAGTAGACCCCCTATAACACTGTTAATAATTCCGTGTTATATGAATTCCACGTTGTACGAGTCACTTAAATTTTACAAATACGTGAGTCGTTCACAGCCCGGCACACGTATTTGTAAAATCTAAGTGACTCGTACAACATGGAATTCATATAACACGGAATTATCAACAGTGTTATAGGGGGGTTTACTGTACATACATTTAAATAATTTTTCCCTACAATTTGGTTGTAATTTTAAATGAAGCATGGAATGAGGGTTTAAAAGGAAAATGGTATAAGTATACTTCATACTGTTATGGCAACACAACACTGCCTAGAGGGGATGCCTTCCGGGAGGTCTTTTTAAGGGAAACTGGCCCTATTTAGGCGTTACGGACGTGGAGAAAACCGAGAAAAACTCCACGTGGCCAACCAGTCCGAGCGAGACGCGAACCCAGTGTTCAGGGTACGAAGACCGCTTGGCCACTGGTGGGAACTTTTAAGAAAAACTACTCGTATTTTAAGAATGGTTATCCTAAATTCTGAATAAAGTTGTGATTTAAAATAATTATATGAAGGGTAAACTGCATATTTTCAGGAGTTTTCTTTTATTGTTACTACAACTGTTTTAAGTTTATTTTCGTGTGTAAAAAGTAAATAAAAATTACTAGTTTTTAAGCCCTTGCAATTATTTATATATATATATATGCTTTGTTCAAGAAAATTGCGCTTGTGCTCGTTTGTTCTTAATCTCTTTGAATGGAAAATATAACCAATACAACTAAAAATTCAAAACTTTTAAGTAATTTTAGTATTAAATATCTTATGTATGGAAGCAATCTGCAATCTGTTAAGTGTTTCTTGTCTATTATATTTACTATTCTCTAATTATTCCACTACTTTTGCAATAGACTTATTATATCTGAGATAGAATTGAACCAGAACGTTATCATAAATCACAAAGTTATCAAATTATCAATTTCCGAGAAATTTGAATAGGAACTAATCTAATTGTTGTCTACAATGTTATCTACAACATTTATAAATGTTGTTTGTGGCATTGTGGGTGGTAAAACAAAATTGTTTTTTCTCATAAAAGATTATCTTATTTACAGTGATATAGATATTATTAGCCATGCAATATATTTTTAAATTTTCAAATACGAGTCTTTTCAGTACTTCAGAGATTATTGAATCGAATGATTAATTTCAACGTTGAGGATTAGGGCTTGAAACTTTGTCCTTTCCAAATTTTAACTCGTAAGTCACTAACTTTGCAATTGTTCACGTGTAGGTAAAGAGGTAATTGAATAGCTTGTTAATGAGGATTATTTTTGTTAATAAAATGATTGAGACAAAATACAAGTTTTCAATGGAAACACTTTAAAAGTTCATAATTTTCAACCAAGCAGTCAGCCCTTTGTGTGTTAAGATTATTTATCACAAGCGAACAAAGTTGACACATGGTTCGTGCAATGCGAGTATCGTAAGGAATCTACTATTGATATAAGGAAGATGATCTAGAATCTAACGAGCAATTATTTATTGTGGTATCATCACGATGCCGGGCCGCAATTTTTAATCATATTTTTAATTTATTTAATGTAAAATATATGCTCTCCACTTCAAATTAGTAATGTGTTGCCCTTGCTTTTCTGTTAGCAATGAAGTTGTGCCGATCATCTACGAGGGCTGTTCGGAAAGTTCGCGGCCTCATATAGAACAACAAACAAAATAATGTTAAAACTTATTTTATTTTTCAATGTAGTCTCCTTTGTTAGCAATGCACTTATTCCAGCGATGTTCTAGCTTTTTTATGCCATTACAATAGGTCGATTCGTCAAGGTGTGCAAAATACTCGTTTACTTCAGAGATGACTTCGTCATTTGAGTGGAATCTCTTTCCAACCAAGAATTATTTTAAATTTGGAAAAAGGTGGAAGTCACTGGGGGCCAAATCAGGTGAGCACGGTGGATGTGGAACTAATTGAAAGCTAAGTTCGTTTATCTTTTGTTCAGTGATTCTGGCATTATCGTGGTGAAACAGAACCTTCTTCTTCAAGTGTGGCCTCTTCGATTTCTTTCTTCAGTTTTTCCAAAAGTATACAGTAATAGACAGCATTGATGGTCTTTCCTCTTTCTAGGTAGTCAATAAAGATGATTCCTTTAGCATCCCCAAAAAACCGAGGCCATCACTTTCCCCGCTGATGGAACTGTTTTTGCCTTCTTTGGTGGTGGCGAACTGGGGTGTTTCCATTGCTTCGACTGTTCTTTTGTTTCAGGAGTGTAGTAATGGATCCACGTTTCGTCAGTAGTCACAAACCGACGCAAGAAATCCCGTGGGTTTTTCTTGTAGAAGTCCAAACACTTCTTTGACATCAAAGTGCGAACACGTCTTTGCTCAGCGGTCAGCAGATGCGGCACCCAACTTGCTGAGACCTTCGTCATACCCAAATTTTCGGTTAGATGTGGTGCACTCGGTCGACAGAGATGCCTGTTGTCTCAGCTATCTCACGCGTTTTCAAACGGCGATCTGCTAACACCAAATCGTAAACTTTGTCGATATTTTTTTCAGTGACAGCAGTTGACGGCCGTCCGCTGCGAGGGTCATGTTTCACACTCTCTCTGCCAGATTTAAAAAGGGCTGTCCATTTTTTCACAGTGGTTTACGAAGGAGCAGACTCTCCCAAAACTTCATCCATGTCAGCTTTGATTTGAGATGCGGTCAACCCTTTTTTCGTCAGGTATTTTATGACCGCACGAGTCTCCGTCTTCTCCATTTTTGACAAAGCATGTGCACATTGACTATCTGCTAAGCTGTCGTGGCAAAACTTTACGACAAATCAAACGGAAATTGCTATCGTATCTTTAGCAAGGATGGCTGAATTATTCCCGCCAAAAATTAAATTGATCGCAGCGCCGCATATAGGCAAGGCCGCGAACTTTTCGAACAGCCCTCGTATATAACTCCTTTCAGGGGAAAATATTCGAATTGAAATAACGTGACTTCCGATTTGTACCAGAAGTTTATATATAGTTAATCGGGGCCTTCTTCCACTGAGCTTTCCATACCTAGTCTTTAATTTCATTTATTTAACACCGTTCTGGATATTGAGGAAGGACGGACGGAAGACAATGGGAATTTATAGGTCTACAATTTTTTCAAATTGCAGCACAATCAAATTCTTATAAATTTTTAAATAGAACATTCAAAAAGGATTATAAAGTTTCCTTACGGGATGACATTATACAATCTGCAACAGCACCGTTGTGTGTCGTGTCCATTCACGTCGAGCGCCAAGTGTCCAAGAGGTCTTCGTACCCTGAACACTGGGAGTTCGGTTGTGGATTCGCGCCTCGTTCGGACGGGCTGGCCACGTGGAATTTTCCGACTTTTCTCCACGTCTGTAACGCCTAAATAGGGGTCAGTTTCCCTTAAAAAGACCTCCCAGAAGGTATCTCCCCTAGACAGATCGCCCAAGTGTTGCGTTGCCATAACTAAACAAACAAACCATTCACATCCGACAAAATTGAAATGCCCATGTAGCCCACAAGATTATAGTGCTACGTGTTACTGAAACAATAACAAATATGAATGTTTTATAATTCACAAATTAAATATTTTACAAAAACACAATTTTTCAATATATTTTCATCAAAATGAAAATTGCGATTGAAAACCATTGACCAAAATCAATACAAATATTATCGGAATGATTATATTGATTATCGATTCATATTTATGTGATTAAAAGATAAGATAGACAAAATATATATTTATTTTTCATCCTCATTTTCAAGAAAATTTATTGTATTGGGATTATTCCGTTACATCACGAATATACAGTCTTTATATAAACACTATATCATTACAATACTTTTTATTTTTAAAACATATTAACCCGTAAATAACATTATATAAATTAATTAAATAATTTAAATTAGTTAACAATTTTTATTTAATTATAAACAAAACACCATCATCTTCGTTATTTTCAATTAGATTTTTGTAATCTTACAATACCTTATTCTAAAACAATAAATCTTTGAAATATCTTGTGCCAACGATATCTCAAAAACATTCTGGATCAATTGGAATCTTAGTAGATCACTCATCTCATTCCTCTCCATAACTGCTCATAGAAAAGTAGTTTTTTTTAATACTTTCCACCCTGTGGGCACTAAGAGGACCTCTTAAAGCAGGCCCACAGTGGGGCAGCCGGGTGGCGAGGGACAGGGACCGACATATCCGGACGGACCACCCCCAAAGATTCTTGGGGATTCCTTGACCCGTCCGGATTCGATCCCGGGTCCCCCAGAGCGGTGGTCTACCACCTTCACCACTCGGCCATCCGGCCGTCTAGAGAGAAGCCATGTTTATTTAAAATACTAGATACTTGACTAACCCAATTATTTCCATTCGCATTTTTTGATATAATATTTTCAATAACTTTGATGGTAACGACTCACTATCTCTTACTTTTTTTTAATTAATTGTTCTCTTTATATAAAATGGGCACAGTTTAAATCTTCTCAACTCTGAGAGTTCTTCCAGGTATGTTATATTCAAACGAAAACATCTTACGAATAAATTAATTATGAACTACTTCTAACTTTTGGTACTTATTCAAACACCAAACCGATGAAGTATAATCAATTGAATTCATCAGAACAGAATTGAATATCCTTAATTGCACCCTGTAATAGTCCACTATGAATCTCAAAGGCTAGCCATTGAGTAGTTTCATGTTTAATAACTACTTTATGGTAACTAAATAATAAACCTATCATTCTTGTAAGTTTTTTCTGCCTGTTATTTGATCATTTTCTTTTGTACATTTGAAATAATAATAAAATCATAAGCCTTCTCGATATCTAAAAATAAAGCAAAACCTCTTTTATATCTCTTTTTTACCAAGCTGCAGTTGAATAATTGCAATTAAAACAAATAAGGCCAAGTGAGTACCTTTATTTTTAACAAATGCAAATTGAGTATAATTTCTATAATTATTCTGTACAACCCAATCATTAAACTTGGATAATAAAACTGACGTAAATAATTTACGAAAGGCATTTATTCATACATTTACAGTATTATCTTTACATAATCTTATATAATTAATATTAGAATTTTTTCCTTCATATATAGAATCCAAATGATTGTAACATTGTTATAATCAAATCATGTGATTTACAACCTCCTAACCGCAAACTTGTGTTTAGGTCTACATTTTATTACAATACAGTACAGCGTCGTTTATCCGAAAGTCGGTTATCTGAAAGAATTCCAGTTGGCAAATTTAAATTTTCGCTAGTGCTGTGGCGCTGCAATCTTTGGCTATGTCTTGGGCTACTCAAATATTTTACGTTTTTGATACTAAATTAAGTTCTGAAATATAATTTTTTATTGTTTTTATATTTTTCAATATATTTCTTTTGTTTGTACAAAATAAAGAAATAATTTTTAACGATACAATAGTCTTCGTTAGGCTTAACATCGACGAAAATTCAACGCAAAGCGACACGCAACGGAGAAAAATTTCAGGATGGGATAGGTTAATATATTTTTTCGTACATAATCGGTTATCCGAAAAATAAGTTATCCGAACAACCCCAATTCCCAATTGATTCGGATAAACGACGCTCTACTGTAGTACATATAATTTAATTCTTATTATTTGAAATATTTCGATTTAGTGCTAGTTTCAGAGAGAAAATAATGGGGCGTTAAATCGAGATATGATTGCATTCCCTTATTTAATTATATTCACTATTTTAAATCGTGTAAATTATATATTTTTTCAGGGAAGAATTATACTTGTGATTTTGAATATGATATGTGTGAATGGAAGAATGAAAATGACGAAGGTTTAATTTGGAGTCGTGGTCAAGGATCTACCGTAACGCCTTTCACTGGACCATCCGAAGATCATACTAAACAATTAGGTTAGTGTTTATTACGTTTAGCAGTGTATAAAACAAAATACAAGTAGATTAAGTATTGATTTTTAAATAATAACAAATAGGGAAATTATACTTCGGTAATAAATATTTTATAAGTAAAAAGAAATATTAGTGAAGTATTAATTAAATCTCTTAATTTACTTATCTATAATTTTAAAATTTGATTTAGGAAATGGATGGTATGTGTATGTGGATGTCAGTAAGGGTAAAGGAAATGCAAGATTATTAGGTCCTGAGATTAATGGAATATACTGTTTGCAATTTTGGTATCATATGTACGGTGCAGATGTAAACCGCTTAAGGACATATCTGAAGATCAAAGAAAAGACAGATGTGGTTTTTCATCGCAAAGGTACGCAAGGCTTTCGCTGGAAAGAAGCAAAAATGACAATTGGAAATAAAGATCTTGTATACCAGGTTTGTTTTCTTTTGTTTTGGAAAAATAGAAGTAGACTAACTATGTTTTAAATAAGGTTTAATGTAAAAAAAATGGCCGGATGGCTGACTAGTTAAATTAAGGTAGCAGCCTATTGCTCTGGGATCAAATCCGGATTAAGTCCGGGTTTGAAGTTCCTAGGAATTTTTCGGGGTGGTTCATCTGGTTATATCGGATGCTGTCCGTCATAACCCCGATCTCGTTGGAGTTTGTACTAGGTGATGCATTAGCTCTTTGACTGTTGGATGAAAGCTGTTGCGTTTGAGTCTGGTGTAAAGTCGTTCCGTAGACGAGTTCGGCGGTTGTTGCTTTGATGTCCTCTTTAAATGCGGCTCGCAATCCCTAGCAGCACTGACGGCAAGACCTCCGACCAACGTTCGGTCAAGTAAGCCTTGAAAGCCAATTTGAGTCTGCGGTGTTCTCTACCAGGCCGTTTGCCATTGGATGAAAGGCTGTAGTGTGGATATGGCTATTGCTCAATAGTTTGGTCGAGGCTCGGAATAGTTGCGATTCGAATTGCCTTCCCTATCGGTAGTGACCGTCTTGGGTACAACGTAATGTGCGACCCACTGACCGTAAAAAACCTTTGCAACAGTCTCTGCGGTACAGTTGGCGATCGGAAAAGCCTCCGCCCAACGAGTGAACCTGTAGATGAGCATGAGACAATATGTGCTACCTTGCGAAGGTGAAAGGGGACCTACCATATCCACGTGGACGTGTTCGAAACGATCGTCAGAGACCTGAAGGTTTTGGACCGGGCCTATGAATTTTCGCTCGTTTTGGCCAAAATCCGGGAGTCTTTTCTGATGGAGGGTCAAACAAAACGGCTGGTTAATAATTTTATGGTAGCTCTTATTCCGGGATGAGCCAAATTGTGTGTGGCGTCGAAAACTTGTTTGCGGAATTTCTCCAGATATATGGGCGAATTTTGTCCGTAGATATATCGCAGAATATGTTGGGGCCTGTGTCTGTTAATGGCATCTGCTTCAGCCGCAAGACCGTATTGGAAGAAAGTAGTTGTTGTAATTTGGGGTCGCTGGTCTGGGATGCGCGATGCTCATGTAATCTACTGTATTTGATACTTCGATCGTTTCGATGTTTTGCCACTGCCTTTGACGTACCGGATGTCAGGGCTGAATTGCCCTATGAAGTCTAGGTGCCTTAATTGCCTAGGTCTGTACTTCTCTGGCTTCTGACTAAAGGCGAAAGTCAGTGGGCGAAGGTCCATGAAGACCGTAAACTCTCTGCCTTCTAGCATGTGTCTGAAGCGCCTGATTGACAAGTTTATGGCATAAAGCTCCCTATCGAAAACGGACGATTTTCGTTGTGGTTCCGTTAATTTGGCAGAGAAGAAAGCTAGTACCTGTATCTCACGTGTTCCACTGGCAGAATCAACTCGGTTTAGGGAACCACCGATGGCAATGTCGCTTGCGTCGGTAAAAAGTGCCAATTGTGCGTTTGGATTAAGGTGCGTCAGGAGCATCGCGTTTGCTAATTTCTCCTTGCAGTGATGGAAAGCGTTAGTTGTCTCGTCAGTCCATTGGATTTTGTTGTTGGATTTAAGATTTGATCCTTTTAATAATTCATTTAGTGAAGCTTGTGCTTAGGCTGCGTTTGGGACGTTCCTACAATAATAGTTAAGTAGCCCCAGATAACGTCTGAGCTCGCGAACCGTCGTCGGAATTTTATACGCTAGTATAGGGTCTACGCGTTCGGGTAGTGGTTTAGTGCTGTCCTTGCTAACTAAATATCTCAAAAACGGTAGTTCTGGGGCTCCCAATACACATTTCCTCAGATTTACGCTGACACCGTACTCGGATAAATGATGGAAAACGATCTCCAGATGTTTCTCTCACTGCTCCTTAGATTCACTGGCAATTAAAATGTTATCGAGGTATGCGAAGGTGAAGTCGAGTCCTGGAGTACTTCATTAATGAATCAGTGGACAGTTTGCCCGGCGTTGGACAAACTGAACGGAAAATATACAAATTCGAAAAGACCGAAAGGGGTTGTGATCTCAGTCATTGGGATGTCGTCGGGATGTACTGGTACCTGATTGTAAGCGCAGACTAAGTCAACCTTGGAGAATATGGTTTTACCGAATAAGCAAGAGGATGCTTTGAATGCGATTACTATCCCCGACCGCTACCCAAAGCAAGACAAATGCTTTGAATGCGATAAGCAAGACAAATGCTTTGAATGCGATTACTATCCCCGACCGCTACCCACGACCACATCTGCAAGATGTGGTCGTGGGTAGCGGTCGGGGATAGTAATCGCATTCAAAGCATTTGTCTTGGGTACCATGTGCAAGGGGTTAGCCCAGTTTGAGGTGCTGGGCCTGCAAATTCCGTGCTCCATTATATATTGGAATTCTTTTCGAGCCGCCGCTAGTTTGGCTGGGTGCAGTCGGCGGGGTTTGGCAAATACCTGCTGTCCCTTTGTTATAATGCGGTGTGCGGTGTGGTGTTTGGGTGACCAGGGCGTCCCTGTGGGGTAAAGGCGGAAAATGTCGGGGTACTTTTCCAAGATCTTCCGGTGTGCCGCGCTGGCTATCAGCGTTACTTGGGGAATTTTCGTCTCGGTCTTTTTACCTGTGGTGGATAGGTTCCCGTGGTGGATCGGGAAGACATGTGCCTTTTAGGTCGATTAACAATCCGTAGTGCCGCAGAAAATCGGCGCCTGTAATTGGCTTACTAACGTCGGCTAGTACGAATGGCGGCGGAGATTAAGCTCGAGCGTGACTAACTTAGTACCATACGTTCGTATTGGTGTACCATTTGCCGAATAGATCCTCACGGCGTGGGGGTCGTCCGGCCGCATGCCTTTCCTTGAGAAAGGTAAAACGCACACATCGCTTCCTCTATCTACGGTTAGAAGCAGGGTCGAAGATGAATAAACGGCTCTTATTATCGGGTCTGAAATCGCAGCGGACCGTCTCGTGCGATTTCCTTAGGGGTTTCCCGACTTGCGAAAAGAGCATGGAGAGCGGCAGCGTTTTGCCTCTCTCCCGTATTTCTGATGATACCAACACTGAATGATCACCTGATTCACCTTTTAGCCGCCGCCAGCGTGGTCTACCCTGTCTAGCTTTTTCCCGAGAGCGGGCTAATCGTTCGATTCTCTGATTTAAAGATTCTACCTATATCTGGAGCTCATTTAACTGGGGACATATTCTGAGCTCTTCCGATAACTCAACGAGAGCGATACACGGGACCTTTGTTAAGTCCCCTTAGCGAAAGGCATGAACTTTAGACAAATCGTTATTCTGTGCTCCACGTTAAGTGGGTTTCGCTAGGGGTAGTCGGTCGAGATGAGTCCGGGTTCCACGCTATCGATAGCTATTACGCTTTAACCAATCACAGTTTAGTTAACATTGTATTTTTGTCACGTGACTGCAACCCGCCATTTTCTAAGCGAAGCACGTGGTTTCAGGATTGTCGTGTACCAACTCTAGTGAATAGTTTTGTTTTAAAATGTCGAAGATAGGCCAACGAACTACAAGTTGCCAGTTCGAGATGCTCGTTAATTTTATGGAAGACAACTCTAAATTAATGTCAGGGAAGTTAGACGCTTCCTTTACCGTAAAAGATCGACAGAAATTGTAGCAAGAGATAGCCGACCGTCTGAATTCCGATGGAGTCGGCTCAAAAAGACCCAGAAAGATGGCGAAAAGTAACTGATAGCTTTGAATATAAATATATGACAATCATTTTAATTTATACATATGCGAATGAAACCTATTTCAGAAACAAGAAAGCAATTACATTATTCATAAATAGTTAAGGTAATTATTTTTAAGCAATACAACAACATAGTTTATTAACTCTCTCTCTCTAATTGCTCGAGAAGGTAAATCATTCATACACCAAAAGACACAATGTTGTTTACACTTTTGTTACATTCCTAACGGCAGCTCGAGAGTGATCGATAACAAAAGCTTACGGGACATTCCAATTTTCAACGCGAGTGTTGAGTGTTGAAGTCAACAATTTTACGTCATCAACGACGTTCCAACTCGAATACGAAGTGCTTAGTTCCCATAATTCCATTCTCAGCAAGATGGATTCCATTCAAATGTCTTACCAATTACCCACAATTCATTGGAAAGTAGCAGTCAACATATCTGTTGAGTGCTGAGTGTGTTGAGTCAGCGCTGACAACAGCGCTACCTCAACGTTGAAAAAAGGAACGAATTTTAACGAATGTTGAGATCAGCGCTGAGTCAGCGTTGAAAATTGGAATGTCCCGTTAGTTATTGCACGTGGCTATTGGAACCGAAAACAAAACGTACGGCTCAGAATAGCATTTTCACAGTTGATTAAATGTGAATCATGTGGTTCCGATAGAAACTAGTTTTTATCGTATTCATTAGCTTAACGATACTACTCAGAATAGATCCTGGCCTCGGGTATCATCTGAGCTCTTTTGAACTTTTTTAATGCTCGCATATGTCACTTCACCTATTTTGTCAGCCATGGTAGCTAAGTTTTCTAAACCATCATCGGAATTGCCTGAGTCTGGTGCGGCAGTCGCTGTAGCCATAAAGTTTTTAGGAAATCTCCTAATTTTTTGTTGGCTAATTGCCTCATTTTTCTTAGTAAATAGGATGGTTTTTCGTCTTCCAATGCGATGTCCGAGATTAGCGCTTTGATTCGCCTCTGCTCCAAGTCTGAGAAATCAGCAAGCAGTCTGGCCTTAGGCGTGTTGTAACGGTTTTCGGCCGGTGGATTGAGAACGATGTCCCTCACATAGTTCAAAATGTTGGAATTGAGAACGGGAACGACCGAGTAGTATTTGTTACAGTCTTTCGTGATACCAGAGATAGCAAACTTGGCCTCGCTATTCACAAACCACAACTCTGGAGTCTTGTCCCAAAATGGGGGTAATCTGAGGGCCACTCTGTTTAATAGCCACTTCTCATTTCCAATTACTATTCTACTCAGAAATGGGGTTTGCTATTGGTTATGAAGATGTAAAATTCCTATGGGGAATTGATCTATATTCAGTAAGGCTGTGGAACCTTATTCCATACCTGTTTATCATTCTTGCAACTGCATAATTGCTGTTGATTGGGACACTTCAAGTTTTTTTTACACTTTCTAATTTATATAGTTTTGGATCAGCTTCCACTATTGCAGAAATATCAGCATTTTCTAAACTAGGTCTTTTAGAGCAAAGCTCATCTTTAAGATTGAATTCCACATCCTTAAAATTTTAAACTAATGCTGGCATTTTGACATTTAAAGCTTCACTGTGATACACACTATATACTGTAACAGGTGTGTTATCTTTTTAAATTCATATAATATTACATGATTTAAGGTTTTTCTGAGAAGCTCAGTTTTATTGACACTATAATCTAACTTTTTAAAAAATAATCAAAAGCCATTATGAAAAAATTGCTATGTAGTTTAAAAATTAGGACATGAGCTAATAGTGTATTTTACAAATCATACTACAGCATGAAAACAATGCTCAGAAAAATCAATATTACTTATGATTCAAGTCAATACTTTTTGCATTGTCAATCACTGATCAGTACAATGTGGGCAGATTCATCCATTGATCTACTCATTTGAGTTTAACATCAACTGATGTTACTTCATTATTGGTAAATGGTAAATTTACCATTTATGAGAAAAACATTTCATAAATTTNAATTATTTTATTTATACATGATATAAATCATTTTTTATAACATATTTTTAATGTTTTATATATATATAATTAATTTATATAGGTGATGTTTGAAGTAGAACATAAACTTAAGCGATTTATAAAAGGTGATATTGCCTTGGATGATATTAGTTTAAACAGTGGAGCCTGTTCATTCACTTCAGGTAAATTTTAAGATTTTAAAATTTTATAGAATTTAATAATTTACCTTTAATGATAATTATAATAACTTTATAATTTATCTAGTTTATAATTAAAAAATTGTAATTTAAATTATTTATAACTACTGCTAGATCAACACATAATTTACAAAAGACCTGTGGGCATTACTCATTAAAAACTCATGCATTCTTGCAAAATAGATTCTTACTTTTTAAGTATATAAAAGCCTTAAGACAAAATAGCAAAATAGTTATTATAAATAAGTTATTTTATAGATGAAGGAAAAAGTCTGGCCTTTATGGATTCTTTTTTATCCTTAAGCCCTATTCATTTGTTTAGTTTGTATAATTGTAAATTCAGCTCTGATTATAATTTATGTATGCATTTAACCCTGGAGTGAATGCGCTGTGTTTTCATGCATAAGCAGGTATATCAAGCATTAACTGTGCTAAGTTTTAATGCATTTGTGTTGTATTAATTGTTATTGGGCTGCAATTTGAAAAAAATTATAGACAAATTTTCACTGTTGTCCGTCTATCCATCAGTCTTTCCTTAATCTTGAGAACAGAGTTGGATAAATGAAATTAAAGACCATATATGGAAAGCTCAAGGGCAAAAGGCTTCGATTAACTATGTGTGAACTTGCAATACAAACCAGAAGTCGTGTTATTTCAATTCAAAAATTTTTTCCAGAAAGCAGTTAATAGATGACCAGCATGACTCTACTATTAAAGGAAAAGTATGATATACAGGGGCAAGACACTACTAATTTGAGGAAGCGAGCATATATTTTAAATTAAATAAATTAAAAATATGATTAAAAATTACAGCTTGGCATTGTGACGATACCACAATAAATAATTGCTCATTTAAGTACGGTTTATCTAACAAACAATTTGAGTTTTCTTTTTATTTAAATATAGTGCAAAGTTTTCTTTATTTTCCAGACAGTTGATTAATGTATTATTTATAAAGCTATTTTTTGTCATAATGCTGACGTTTTCATTCAAACTGTAAAAATATTTAAATCTTCATTGCCATTTAAGGAAATCACTATCATCAAGGTAGTTTATATACAGATTAATTTACTTTGCTATATTAAAATAAGTCTATTATATTTTACTTAATTTATAAATTATCTGGCCTTTTTGGTTGAAAGTAAAGAACATTATAATTATCAGTTAATCAATGCATTTTTAATCCTGTTTATATTAGACAAACAGTAGAACTCAGTTAAGAAATTTTTCAAGAATCCAATTTAAGAAAACTTCTTAAGCATAAGTGAAAATAATATAACTTTTCACTCAACAGTTCGGCTTATACAGTGTCTATTTATTTAAATATTTGTCTAATGTAGCCTGCTTTATCCATTTTGTTATGTACAACAAAAATGTGTACAGTATTATGATTCCACAAACAAAACCACAGATTTGTCAGACTTACAGTATAACTAAGGTGACCATATATCCTTTATTTAAGAAGACAATACTTTATTTTATTGCTCGGTCCTTTAGAATTATTTGTTTTTTCTAAAATGGCCATTTTGGCCTTTATTTTGTGAATTGAAATAGTAAATTGAATATTGGCATCTGCACATGACATAAATATTCAATTTACCAAATTTATTTTATGGAATTTATAAATTTACCCAAACCAGCATTGATTATTTAAATAGCTGAGCCAACTCTTTCATGGAAATAAAAGTATTTGAATGGATCCTACTATGAGAAATTTCTCTGTGGGTGGGAAAGATTGAGGAAAACATTCTGTTCATTTCCAATCATTGGAACTTAAATATAGATAATGGCATACTATTTCACAAAGTTTCGTGTATTAAAGGTTATGTCACCAGTAAAAAGATCTAAGAATGTCGACAAAACAACAAATCCTGCCAATGTAGATGGGTTAAAATTTTTAAAAAGTTTACAGATAAACATATCTTTTAAAACTATTTAAAAAATCATTGAATTTATTTTTTTATTTCCCTAGATCTAATGCTTTCATTGAGTGAGTACTTTTATTAGTGAACAATATGTGGACCAGTGAAAAAACCCAACTAAACATCAAAATATTGGAAGCAAGCATTTATTTCAAATGCAACTTTGACATGAATTTTTAAAACATAAACCTGATTTATTAAAAAGTTCATTCTTGTGAAAAGTATCAAAAGTAAAATCATTAAAAATAATAGTATGGTATATTTAAAATGCTATGTATATACTTATATTTTATAATAAATGTTATGAAGATTTTTAGTTTTCGTGAAACAATAAATAAATGCAACCTGCTTTCTTTTTATTATAAAACAATTTCTGATTTGTTTTTTATTTTCTCCAAAAAAATATGGTCACTATAAGTATAACTTATGTATTAATGCTGCTATTCAGAACTTACTGTTTGTTGCAGATAACTGTTTAAGAAAATTGCATAATCCATGTTCAAAGTAACCCAAAATCACAAGCAAAATGACCCAAAATTTTGTGCATTTTCTAATGTAATGTATTTTGATTTGTTTGATTTTGATTGCAATTAAATGTGTAAAATTTTTGATAGGATGCAGTTGAAAAACTTAAGCAAATAAGAAATCGTGGACAACGATTTCTGTCTACTTAAGTGGGAAATTTTCTTAAAGAGGAGCATTATATATGGGGAAAACTCACACATCTGTAATGTAGAAAAAAATTGGAATTTTTGAAATTAAACTTCTTACATGGAAAAATTACTAATAAGGAAACTTCTGAACTAGTAAATAAGTTTTACTGTATTTGTATAAAAAGAAAAGCAAAAGTATGATTACAAAAAACTACATCTGACATAAATTAAATCAAATTTCTTAAATTATGACAATAGCATTTGATTACCCTAATTTTGACTACCCTACCTTTTAATGTTTATTTCTTAAATTTCTTGTTTAGATATACTTACAGTTTATATGTTGTAACGAATATATAAATAAATATTGCAATGTATAAACCGTATGTTTATTTTGAATGTTAAAATAATATATAAGTATTATTAATTAATAATAAAGTTGTAGTTATTGAATTATAAAATATAATTTAATTTTATAGCACAAGAGGATGAGATATGTACCTTTGATAACAAAAATGATTGTGGATATAAATTTGTTAATGATAAATATTTTCAATGGAGTCTTATTCAAGCTGGGGTTGATCGATTAGTTTATCCAAGGACAGATCATTCGCTTGGAACTAATAAAGGTAATAGTATAAGAAATTACAAGTTTAATTTAATATTAACCAGTCAACAATATTATTGACATAACAGACATATAGATATGAAAGAATTTTATTAATTTATATTTGATTGCCCTCTTTCATTTATCTATATAATATGTATATGTTAAGTTTGTATTAATTAGTAAGGAATTCTTTTGTTATGTTTAAGTAAAAGTTTTATATAAGCAGAAACAAGTTTAGTATAATAACTGTACAATGTCACTTAAATGTATATATAATGACAAACTTTTGATTCTTAATGTTAATATAATAATGATATGAATGAGGAAAGAAACTATTTTTAAATAATGAAAACTGGTTACATAAAATACTTTCTTTAGTTCTCTATTGTTTATTTATTCT